TGATGGGAATGCAAAACGGTACAGCCACAGTGGGAAACAGTTTGGCAGTTTCTTATAAAGTTAAACATACGCTTCGCATACTGGCCAGCAATCTCACTTCTAGATATTTATTTATATTCAAATGAAGTGAAAACTTATTCTTGGAAACCATTTCCCACGGGTCCCATGTATTTCTACATATCTTGCAACAGACGTGCTGTCTGCTCTGGTTTATCTTTTCAAGATGTAGACATAGGGAACAGCCTTAGAAAACAGAAATACTGTCTCTCTTCAAAGCAAAGAGTAGGCATGCTTATTGTCTGGTATAAAGATAACACCCAACTCTGGAGTGAAGGGCCGGCATGCTCACAGTCCATTATAGAAGATTTGGTTTTCTTAAGTCCAGGGCCCCCTCCTTTAACACCACGTAATGAATGAGCAAGTGTCGCCTGGTCCTCATTGTTTTCACCCTGCGGGAATTGGGGCTCAGGGAGCAGGTGCAAGAAAATGCTGCTGCTCTGGCTACTGCTTTTGCTGTGGGTAATAAAGTCATTTGTCTCTGACCCAAAAGCCTTGGTGTTCTCCCGGCAGCCACATTAGTTTGCAAGTAAGGTAAAATTTCAGACTCTTCACCGTTCTCGACACCTTTTCACACAAAAACCTGTAGGCAAATATTTATCACAGCTTTATGTATAAAACCCCAAACAGGAAATAACACAGATAATCTTCAACAAGCAATGGGTAAACAAACAGTTTTACATCCATACTCATCAATAAAGCACTGCTCGTTAATAAAAACACTACTTATCAATAAAAGGGAATAAAGTCTTGATTCATGAAATAAGTTAGATGAACTTATAAGAACTGATAAAGTTCTTATATCCAGAAACTCAATCTTGTTTTTTTTTTCTTTTTTTTTTGAGATGGAGTCTCGTGCTGTCGCCCAGGCTGGAGTGCAGTGGTGCAATCTCGGCTCACTGCAAGCTCCGCCTTCTAGATTCACGCCATTCTCCTGCGTCAGCCTCCTGAGTAGCTGGGACTACAGGCACACGCCAACACACCTGGCTAATTTTTATTTGTAATTTTAGTAGAGACAGGATTTCACCATGTTAGCCATGATGGTCTTGATCTCCTGACCTGGTGATCCGCCTGCCTCAGCCTCCCAAAGTGCTGGGATTACAGGCATGGGTCAAGTGTGTTAAGTGAAAGAAGCTAGAACCCAAAAGTTCTATTGTATGATTTTGTTTATATGACATTCTGGAAAAGGAAAAGCTATAAAGACAGAAAAACAGAGCAGTGGTTGCCAGGAGGGAGGGGGAGTTGGTGACAAAGGGGCATATGTGGACATTTTGGGAGTGACAGAATGGTTCCCTTTGGTACTGTGGTAGAGATACATGACTCCATGCATTTATCAAAATCCATGAACTATCACCAAAAAGAGTGTGGGTTTTTTATTGTATGCAAATTAAAGTAAGATTCAACTAGGATGTGGAGGAAACCAAGGTGAAATGCAGACTAACTGAGCCAATGAGTCTAACTGGGTCGCTAATGAGTGACATAAGCACGCTAAAGAGATTGGGTAAGAAAGTTACCTGACTTCACAGCTCTGGAAGACAGTTTTTTGAATGGATACTGTAAAGTTAAAGCGGAAAAAAAAAAAAGCTGTATACAAACACTATAGCTGATAAATTTGTTTCTCGTAGAGTATGAACTAGCAATACTGAACCTATACGTACAGTAGGGTTGAAAATATAAGTAAATACGTTATAGGTAATGAGAATCAGGTTTCTTCTCGTTGAAGAAGATGCAAATAGGTTCCTTACAAATGAACCCTGGGCTCTGGGTTGGAATTAGAGGTATCAGTATGAATGCATGATTTGTTTGCTTATTTAATATACAGAGTGATATACAGATAAATAAACATAGATGTTTGTGGATACATGGAGTAGATATAGAAATATATATATTTAATAGATATGATCATATATATCTATATATTATATAGATATTTTCTATGTCTACATATTTCTATCTCTGTCCACTGAGAGGGCCTAAAAGCAGTGATACAATCCAGTAGCAGTAACCACCCCCGGGCGTCCAGATCTTGGTTTCTAAATACCATTCCGTAATAAGAGAAACCAAGGTTCCTTGGAGTAGTGGTAGATTTCAGGGCTGGGGCTGGGAAAATATAAGATTATCATAAAACATCTTATAGTGACAGAAAGTCAAGAAATGCTGAAGGGGGAAAAAAGGTGGATGCATATTTAAATATTTAGAAGCAGCATAAAAGAATTCCCAATGGCCAAAGTAACAAAATTTTAGTAACAAAATAAGTAACGATAGTATTAGATTATAGCTCTAAGAATAAAATAAATTTCCATGAGTCCACATTGAAATAAACATATAAATGAATAAGTAAAAGGGGGACAGGGAAATCTTTTCCTTATAGAATAATTCCAATATAGAAATGTAAAACGAATAGAGGAAATATAAAATCACCTCAGCTCAGTAATAATTGTTGTAAGGATGATCCAACATTGAGTGCTAAAATTGTGGGCAAAAACTTAAGGAACAAACGATACTTGCAGAGCCTCAGAGCATCTCCTCCAAAACTTTTATTATTTACAAAGGGAAAAAAAAGGTAACTTTTTGGGGGAAACCTGGCAGATGTCACCTTAACCAAATGATCAAAGTAAACATTGCTGGTCATAGAGCATATCGGCATCACGCGTGCTTTCAGGTGATCCACTGGGAAGAGTATCGCCTCCCCCAAATCCATAACCAATCTAATAATGAGAAAACATCAGGCAAAATCAAACTGTAGGACATTCTACAGAAGAATCTGAATAGTACTCTTCAAAAGTGTCAAGGTCACGAAAGACAAGGAGAGACTGAGGAACTGTCACAGATTGGAAGAGACTAAGGAGGCATTGCAACTAAATGTCATGTGAGATCCTTGGCTGGATCTTGGAACATAAAAGGAACATTAGTGGAAAACTGATGAAAGCTGAATAAAGTCTGTAATTTAGCTCATAGTGTCCTGTGAATGTCTCAGTTTGACAATTATACCATGGCTATGTTAGAGGTGAACACTGGAGAAAGTTAGGTGAAGGGTAAGTGTGAACGCTCCGTACTACTTTTGCAACTTCTTTGTAGTCTAAAATTATTGCAAATTTAAATGTTAAAAGCAAAACAAAATCCTCTTACAGGATTTGGGCAGCAGAAATGTATTCCAGGTGGTAAACAGAACAGCTCTTCCCTCTGAGCCCATTCTCAATAGTCTTTTGTTGAAAACCCTACTGCTGAAAAGATGGTGGCAAAGCTGGGGAAGACCCAGACAGAGAGACCCCAGGGAAACATGGTCTGAGGATGGCACCTGTTTTGCACCTGCTCCTCCCATCTCCCCCCTCAACTACTGGGCAGGCGCCACCACAGCTTGCGCTCCCCTGGCCTTAGGAATGGCTGTGCTTGTTTGGGGACCTACTGCTGCAGGACACCAGCACAAAGCAGGCTCAGACCACCCTGAGTGCTACCGGGTTGATTACTGGACCAAACCAGCCGAAAGAATAATAGAATTTGGCTTTATTATCATTTTTAAAAAATTAATTTACTTTTAATTGACAAAATTGTATATATTTACAGTATACAATGTAATGTTTTGATACATGCATACACTGTGGAATGAGTAAATCAAGTCAATTAACGTATCTATCACCTGACATATTTTTGAGTTGTGAGAACATTTAAAATCTACTCTCTTGACAATTTTCAAGTACACAATACACTGTTATTAACTATAGTTACCATGCTGTACTCCAGAACTTATTCCTCCTGTCTACCTGAAACTACGTACCTTCGACCAACATCTCCCCATCCCCAGCCGGCACTCTGCTCCCAGTCTCTGGTAACCACCATTCTACTCTCTGCTTCTACAAGTTTGACAGTTTTAGATTCTACATACAAGTGAGATCATGTGGTATTTTTTCTTTCTCTGCCTGGTTTATTTTACTTAATATAATGTCCTCCAGGTTCATTCATGTGGTTGCAAATAACAGGATTTCCTTCTTTTTTAAGCTGTGCAGTATTCCATTGTGTATATATGCCACATTTTCTTTATCCTTGGTCCTTTTGAAAATGAATTTTGGACATTCAACAAGCCAGCAAGGGAGCATCAGTGAAAATTTGTAAGGAGACAAGAATTGTGCTTTATAGGAATATGTGTTTTTAGCCAAATGGCTAAAATCTGAATAGATGGTTGACTCTATTCATTAGTGATTTTATATAAAGCAGAACCCAATGATGTTTTTATCCAATGAGATTATATAGATAATATCTTGTTATCATAAACCCTAAACTAGTAGGCTCTGAGTTAACAAGGTATTTCCTATTGTTCTGTCATAAAAGCACAGAACCAAAAAAAGAAAAAAAAAAGGACAGAACATATGTCACAAGTAACTTCACTGGTTAATCCTGGAAATTTAACAAGTTGGGTATGAATTCAACACTATTTCCCAGGATAAGGTGACCAGTTAAATTAAAATCTTACAGGCATTATTATTTCTTATAGAACAGATTTACTTCTCCTATTTTTAAAAACAAGTCACAAGGGAGTCCTAGTGCATCTCAGTGATCTGCCGATGTCTACTTGTGACTTTCTGTCAAATCTAAGACTCTAAACTCAGGCACTAAATTATTTTAAAGATGTTTGTGATACATATTTGCCTTTTAAAAAAAGATACAGAGCCTTGCTATGTTGCCCAGGCTGGTCTCAAATTGCTGAGCTCAAACGATCCTCCTACCTCTGCCTCCCAAGGAGCTGGGACTACAGGTGTGCACCACTATGTCCACTTCCTATATTTGACTTTTTAAGAACAACTCTTGGTCTCAATTGTAGTGTATCTCAAATAATTGGAATGCTATAATGCTATATGTTATACAAAATTAAGGTAAGTTCAAGATAAGAAAATTTAGGGCAAGGAAAATCCTTCCCAATAGTCTGTGTAAATGCCAAGGGCAGTCACCTCTGAGGAAATGATTTCACCTTCTTACTATATTCTCCTGCCCTAGCTCTCTTCTTGCAGTCAGTCCTAAACACTCCGATTGTACTGTATATTTCCACATGCTCCTTACTTTTGAACAAAGCCCACTGATAAGAATGGCTGCAATACATCTTTTGCAACAATAATGAAATTTCAGAAGAAAAAAATCTGAATGTCTGAGTATAAAAAAAAAGTCTGTTTTGAAATGTGTTTTCATAAGGGGGTTTCAACCTGAGCCAAGGGCAGAGCTGGAAATAGAGAACTGTGAATAGATAAGAAGAGGCTCATTTACACCTTATATTGACAAATGAGGTTGGATTATAATGTGATCACTGCAAGCAAAACAAAAGTCTACATGCTAAGCCACTTCCATCCTGGGAGTGCAAAACACCTCTCGAGAACGTCTGTCCTGTGAATGAACTCAGTGCACAGGTGAGAGACTCCTATGCTGCTTCTCCCAGCTTAGTCTCCAACTTACCTTCATGTCTCTAATCCAGGACTGAGCCTGTTCCAAATTATCTTCATTGACTTCGGCAAGTTGTTCCCGCCAAGCAACTGCTTGACCATCAAACTTCACAAAATTAAACTTACTTTTATATTTCAGCTGTTCCTACAAGAGACAACGACAACTTAACCATAAAACCACTCACAGGTAAAAAAGGGTTAGGGTAGGTCACAGTTTGGTATATTTTAATCACAATGATCTCTATTTTCAGTTTAAGAAGCAAAAAATTATATTCAATAGAGAATATCCTATCTAGTATAAAGGGCATTTGAATAAAATTTATCCAGTTTGTGTGTGAAGACGTTTACAAATGTATATATGATTATATATTATATGCCACATATATGTAAAAGTTTATATATATAGTGTGATATTAAATAGTGATTTTAATACTAACATTAAGGATATACCAAATAAGCACACCAAATACAATATGCTTGAAGAAAACAAATCTAAAACATCATCATCATTTCAGTCATTATCTTTTAGGTAAAGCCATTATTCAGTTACAACTTTATTCACTTGTTCATATTTCTCCTGTAGAGCTTTGTTAAATTAAAAAGTGCATTTTGTATTTCTCAAACACTCCCGGCTATTATTTCTGTGGTTAATACTTAACGTCAGTACTACGAACTGACAGCAGTACTGTGATGCCATTTGACAGGTATGGACACTAGGAGTTAGGGCACTTGGGCAACCTGCTTCAGTTCACACAGCTCAGAGGCAGCACAGGCAGAATAAGAACTGGAAGCTTCTAAACACCAGCCTGCACCCCTCCCATGCACCGGGGTACACAGCATCCTTAATAAACATTTGCAATTAAAAGTGCTAAGATGAGGAGTATCTGGAAGACAATGGAAGTGTGTATATACCACAGATTTCAGGACAGAGAAAATCTGAAACAATGAACACAGTAACTCCCTTAAGCAACTCATGTGTGACAGAAAGAATCCACCAGAGATAGGGTCTATTTGCAAAGGAGAAGTGATGATTCTTTAACTAGCAAAAGGGAGTATTTCTCTGAATTTGGCTTTCTTAGGAATTTTTTAGTGCAACAAGCCCCTCTCCACTGCTCATAACCATCACAGACGATACTTTGTGGAGACCCATTTATGACACACAAAACCCCACATGCATGAACCGATAGTTCCATCTAACCTGTATGAACTGAACGATCTTGTCCTTCACCAAGTCCAGTTTGCTCTTCATTGAGTGAGACGTGTCAATGAGAATGTAGATGCAATCATTACGCAATTTTCCAAAGAGGCTTTGACTCCCATCCTGCAGCCATTTAATCCTAGGCAGGAAGTAGGTTGAAAGTGAGAGCCTGCAGGCAACAAGAGAATCTTCCCAAGAACTTAACAATCTGCAGAGGACAGAGCTGCGCTGTGCTGTTTATACCAAATCTTCTGTGAGTGGATCATTCGCTTCGAGGTTTTTCTGCAGAAAATCCTACATTTGGGCTGTAGGATGCACTACCCACCATCAAGCCAAGTAAAACAAAACGAAGAAAATCAATGTGACAGAAAAATAAATCCAATGTGGGTGCCAAAGTCAAAAATACATTACTTCTAGTCATCTGATATTTTGAGGACCTCAGCTATGACTTCAGACTATTTGTTCTTCTAATCTGGCTGACTGTAGTCAAGCTAGTAAAGCCAGCACATTCCTGAAGCTTCAGTGAAACTTACGCACAGCATCAAGCAGCCCCAGAGCTCTGTAATAACCAAGGCCCAGGTGGCTGTATGAGAAGGACTGCTTCTGCGGTCCATGATCAGGTTCCCATCTCATGTAAATACATGAAATTCATAGCCACAGGCAAAGCCTGTGGGGTGGAGGTAAGGAAAGAGTACGGAAAAAATATTTGAATTGAGTTCAGAGTTCAGCAAAGGCTAAGAAACTAAAATTTGAATGGCAAAATATTGAAAGGACATTACTGCACAGGAGAAAGGGAGAGAGAGAACATGCTCCAGAGATCTGCAGAAGGGTGTCCTCGAAATTTTGGCTAACTAATGATCAAGGCATGCATGTGAAGAAACTACTGAAGCCAAAGAAGAAATCACCAGAGGAGCAGGCGGATCAACCCCTCAGAGCTCACACACGGCTAGGAGCGGAGCAGGCGGATCAACCCCTCAGAGCTCACACACGGCTAGGAGCGGAGTAGGCGGATCAACCCCTCAGAGCTCACACAGCTAGGAGCGGTCCGTCTACCAGCCAGAGTGGGAAAACCTCCTTAACACATGGGCCACCAAGCAGCATTCTTGAAAGAGTATTGCCTTAGTAGTAGGATCAAATGAACCCTGGACTAAAAGCTACCCTGGATCTACTCTAATGTAATTGAAAAGCAACTCCTAGAGAGATCAAACTGGTTTAAAGTAACTTAACTGCATAAAAACATATATAAAAATACAGTGAAATCTAGTACCTGACAACGTAAAGTTAAAATGTCTGGTATCCAATAAAAAAATTACCAGGTATACAAAGAAGCAAGAAAATATGATCCATAACCAGAAGAAAAATTGATCAACAGAAACAGATCCCAAAATGATACAGATGATAGAATTAGCCGAAAAGGATGTTACACAGCCTTTACAAATATAATCCATATGGTCAAAAAGGTAGAGTATAAACAGAACGAGGAGAGAAATGGAAGATATTTAAATAGACCCAAATAAAACTTGTAGAGAGATACAATACATGAAATTTAAAATACACTGCATGGTATTAATAGTAAATTAGACATTAGGAGAAGAAAAGATTAGGGAATAAAAGACAAAGCAAAGGAAACAATTCAAAGTTAAACTCAGAGAGAAAAAGGACAAAAGTACTTTCATCAGAGAGAATTAGTGGCCTGTGGAACAATATCAAGGAGTCTAACATATGTGTAATCAAAGTAGAAGAAGGAGAAGAGAGGGGGAGGCAGAAAAAATACTTGAAAAAATATGACCAAAATGTTTTAATTTTTATTGAAACAATGCACCTACAGATCCAAGAAGCTCAAAGAACCCAAGAAGAAGAAAAATAAAACTACACCCAGGCATATCACAATAAAATTGATAAAATCTAGAGATAAATAGAAAAATTTTAAAAGCATCAAAGACATTATGTGTGGAGGAACAAACAAAAATATGACAGGAGCCTTCTTGTAAATCATGCAAGCCAGGAGACAGTGGAGAAGGATTTTCAAAGTACTGAAAGATAGAACTGTAAAACCAGAGTTCTACGCTTAGCAAACACATCATTCAAAAATAAGGGTAAATTAAAGAGTTTTTCAGACTGAAACAGCTCATTCATCACCAATAGACCTGCACTACCAGAAATATGAATAAACTTCTTCAGGTGGAAAAAAAAATGATGTCAAACAGAAATGTGGATCCATACAAAGGAGTAAAAAGCAACAGAAATATCACATATGTGGTTAAACATAAAATACATCTATCCCAGTTTTTAAACTAGTTACAAGACAATTGACTGAATGTATAGTGTAATGCATGTGTAGAAGTAAAGTGTACAATAATAGAAAGGACGGAAGTGGGAGTGAAAGTTGTAAGATTCCTATAATATACATGAAGGGATATAATATTATTTGTAGGGTGACTGCTAAGATGCATATTGTAAATCCTAAATAGTCACATACACACATCAGATAAACAGAACAAAGAGGTAGAGCTAATAAGACAATAGTGGAGATAAAATGTAATAATAAAAAATACTCAAAAGAAGGCAAAAAATGAGTAAAAAGAGAACAGAAAACAAATAGCAAAATATTTGATTTAAATCGTATCAAATCAATAATCACATTAAACGTAAATGATCTTAACACTCCAATTAAAAGGTGAAGATTGTAAGGTTGGATTAATAAAACAATGCTCATATATAATTATATATCTTGTGTCTGTAAGAAATCCATTTAAATATAGGATGCAGACAAGTAAAGATGATAGAAAAAAAAAATGTAGGGTGGCTAAACTGCTATCAAAGTAAATTTCAGAACAAGGAATATTGCCAGAGATATAAAACAGGCATTTCCTAATTACAAAGCAATTGGTTCATCAAGAGAACGTAACAATCTTAAATGTACATGCAACTATTAATAGAGCGTCAAAATACATGGAGAAAAAAAAGAACTGAAATGAAAATTGAAGACTATAGTTGGAGATTTCAACACTCTTTTCTCAGTAATTTATGGAACAACTAGAGAAAATCAGTAATAATATGAAAGACTTGAACGACACTATCAGCCAACTTGAGCTAATTGATGCCTGTAGTATACTCCACCCAACAAAACCATGTTTTTTTCCAAAATCTGTACTACAAAACAGGTCCCAATAAATTTATAAGAATTGAATCACACACTATTTCTCTGTTCACAGTGAAATTAAAACAGAAATCAGTAACAAAAGCTATCAGGAAAATCCACAAATATTTGGGAAGCAAACAACACATTTATTTTTATTTTTATTTTTTATTTTTTGTGACAGAGACTCCCACTGTCACCCAGGCTGGAGTGCAGTAGTGTGATCTGCAAGCTCCGCCTCCTGGGTTCAAGCAATTCTTCTGCCTCAGCCTCCCAAGTAGCTGGGATTACAGGTGCCCACCACCATGCCCAGCTAATTTTTGTGTTTTTAGTAGAGCCAGGGTTTCACTACGTTGGCCAGGCTGGTCTCGAACTCCTGACCTCCTGATCCAGTCCCCTCGGCCTTCCAAAGTGCTGGGATTACAGGCGTTGAGTCACTGCACCCAGCCTAAACAATACATTTCTAAATAACCCTTTAGTCAAAGAAGAAATGATGGAGAAAATTAGAAAATATTCTGGTGATTGAAAATGAAATACAATATATCAAAATCTGTGAGAGGCAGCTAAAGAGTACAGAGGAAAGGTATAACACAGTGGGCAATACACGTGTGGCCTAGAAAAGAATGTGAGTATGAAACAGAAGCATTTCTCAGCCTCCTACAGCAATGTGTGACCAGTGTGATAGCTACACGTTGGCTTGCTGTTTTCGATAAACTGCACTGGCATCAAGGCAGCTGGGATCTGAATCCAAACAACCCCCTTTTTTTTGAACAAGGCTATCAGCAAACCATCAGATGGCAACCTTGACTTAACAATGTTTGTTGGCACTTTCTCTCAGTTGAGCTTTTACTGGTGTATATACACCATGGAGTACTACTAAACCCTACCGAAGAATAAAATTCTGTCATTCGCAGCAGCACGGATGAGCCTACAGGACACTACGTTAAGCAAATTAAAGTCAGGCACAGAAAGATAAATGCCACATGTTCTCATTCATATGTGGGAGCTAAAAGTATCTGAGCGTATGGAGGTAGTGAGTAGAACTGTATCAGAGGCTGGGAAAGGTAGAGAGAGAGGATAGTGAGGTTGGTTAGCGAATATCAAAGTTTAGCTAGACAGGAGGATCAAGCTCTGGTATTCTGCAGCTCTGGAGGGTCAATATGGTCAGCTACGATTTAGTGTATATTTTTTTAAAAAGCTAAATGAGAGAATTTTGAATGTTCACAACACACAGAAATGATGTATGTTTGAGGTGATGGACGCGTGAGTTACCCTGATTTATCTTGGTACATTGTATACACACACCTAAATATCACTCTGTATCACATAAATAGGTACAAAATCATTTTGTGTCAACTAAAAATAAAAGAGAGGAAAAAAGATCAAGCAGATGAGAATTTTCGGAGCGAGGAGACCACTTGTATCTTCCTGCAAGTAACACCAACCTCCTTCGGATCCGGGCCAGGGCTGTGTGGATTCTGTCACTGTACCACCTGCACTTCTCTCTGGTAATGTTCACGTGGACCAAGCTCCCGTCCTTCCAGGCAGCATGCACAAACCTGCTGCAATATTTTGCATGGACTGTCTTCTTGTTGGTCTCCTAAGGAGAGGACGAAGGACAGAGGCCACTCAGAAACTGTCCAGAGAGAAGAGCGTCCAGATGGCACCTCCAGCTCTGTCGTATTCACATGGCTCTTAGCACTCACTCTACCATCAGTCATTCCTTTGTTAGTTCAACCAAATATGTTCCGCTGCCCGCTTCCTATGGAGCCCTGCACTAGGTGCCATGAACATGGGCAAGAAAGATACATGCGATCACACGTGTGCCCCAGAAAAGCTAACGATTCCAGCGTAGAGACACCCCCCACCGACACACACACCACACACACACACACACACACACACACACACGTGCAGAGAGAGAGAGAGAGAGAGAGCGCAATGCGGGGAATTAGATACTCAGTCCCTAGCACTGGGCTGAGACAGTAAGGACCTGGCAAGTCCTGGTAAAGAAGAGAGAGCGACAGAGCTCACAGTGGACTAGACAGCCAGGGAGACCATTCTGGAGGAAGCGGGACTGAGGCTCTCACGAATCCTCTTCTCCTACCAAGAACCCCATTGCACATCTAGCGCCCTCCACCGGGACAGACGGAGCGAGCCCTCCTCAGTCGGCCTCTATCACTCGGCCCACGGGCGCTCACCCAGTGCTCCTCCGCTGGGAGACCTTCTAGACACCAGGAACACAAACACACACAACGACCAAACCCCTGCCTTCTCGGAGCTCACAGTGCAGGAGGGGAGCCCAGTAATAAGCAAATCACGACACACCAGGTCAGAGGATGACACGCAGAGTAAGGCAAGGAGGAAGAGCAGAGAGCAGAGAAAGAGGGGAGAGACGGGAAAAGTTAGAACCTCGCAGGGAAAGCCTCCCAGAGACAGTGAACCAGGAGAGAAGGCCTGGAGGAACGGAGTGTGGTCATGGGGAGGCCAGGAGGAGGTCAGAGGACACAGCAAGAGCAAAGGCCGGAGCTGGGAATCCGCCCGGCATGCTTGTCGAATTTTAGGAAGGCCAATATTGCCACAGGAAAGGGATAGAGGGAAGAGAGAGTGAGAGAAGCCGGGACACACGAAGAGGAGGGCCAGGAGCAGGTCCTGTAAAGCCTGACAGCTGTCGGAAATGAGCTGGCTTTTGCTCTGAGTGAAAAAGGACTCCTCCCAGGGCTTTCATGAGAGCAGCGACACGTCTGATTTATGGTCTCACAGCTTTACAGCGGTTACTCTATAAAGCAGACTGGACGGCCAAGGACCAAGGGCAAAAGCAAAGAGCCAGAAGGTCACGGAGTTGCATGGCCCCGGGCAGCCAAGGTCATGGTAAGAAGTGGTCAGATCCTGAATGACAGGCACGTTCTGAAAACAGAACGGACAGTGTTCACCAAGAGATCAGACGTGCGTATGCGAGAAAAGAGAGGAGTCAGGCACGACTCTGAGGTTTCCAGGCCGGGACCTGAAAGGGTGGAGTTGCAATCAATTGATAGGAGGAAGGCTGTGGAAGAGCAGCTCTGAATGGGAAAGACCAAGATTTAGCATCTGATATCTCAGGTTCAAGGTGCCTATTAGATATCCAAGCAGCATGGCAGTGGTCGGGAGATCAGGGAAGGCCACAGGACTGGAGGGGTACATTGTGAAGTTGCCAGCCCGCATGCACAGGGGATTAAAAGCCATGGGACTGGAGGAGACCACCTGGGAAATGAGTGTAGACAGAGAAGCGATCAGAGCACTGCACCTCAACGTCCTCCGGCATCGACAGGTTAAGGACGTGGAGAAGTCACAAAGAAGACTGAGAAAGGAACAGCCAGCAAGATGGGAGGATAACCAGCAGTGTGTATTCTGAAAAACAAAAAGAAATTCAAGGAAGTGACCAACTAGATCAGCTTACTAACAGGTCAAGCAAGAAAGAGACTGAGAATGGACCCCCGGATTTAGCAATTCGGGATCTCTGCAATTTGGGATCTCTGCAAAACATGTGTTTTGGTGGAGAGGTGGAAGTTGGCAGGCGGGCGGGGGGTGCGGGTTCTGCCTGATGGAAGCAGGTCCCAGGAGCATGGGAGGAGAATTGAAGAAGCAGAGGAAGGAAATGTATGCAACTCAACTGAGGAATTGAATTCTAAAAGAAGCGGAGGCATGAGGCACAGCCAGAGGTACACATGGGATCAGAAAACTTTTTAAGATGGGAGAAACGGTGGAATGTGTGCGTGCTGATGCAAATGATCTGGAAACGGGGGCGATAGGAGGCTGTGATGCAGAAAGGGAGAATGAATAAAATGAGTGGAGAGAGAGTCATGTACCCGTGCAGGGAGTAGCCTTAGACAGGACAAGGACAATTCGGCCTGGGAGAAATAAAGGTAGATGGCAGACACGGGGGGCTGAGATGTGGAGGCAGAAGCTCGTGACGCTCCCGTTGATGTTCACGGCATGGGAGGCCGGCTCACCTGCGGAGAGTGAGTGTAGTGAGTGTGGAGCGGAAGGTGCTGGGTGTTTCAGGAGGAGAGGGCAGCCAGCGAGGGACTGAGTGGACTGCTGGGCAGCACAAAAGATCCACTGACATTAGTGGGCGTGAATTTACAGTGAAACCAGGCATTGCACTGTGGCTGTTTTTCTCCAGTTTCTACCAGTACAGTTAACTGCACGGAGATAAGCCAGAAAAGGCGGAAAGTTGGATTTAGCCAGGGTTAAATCTGGGGTTTTGCCAGATGAATGCAATAGTTTAAGGGGAAATTGGTTGAGGATGCATGGGAGGATAGAGAGGACAGAGAGGAGGTGGT